CACACACACACACACACACACACACACACACACACACACACACACACACAAAGACAGCAATTACAATATTGTTTAAATTAATTTGATGCCTTCACTCACGCTGCCTCGTAGGCGAACTTTCCTGACACTTCGCAACACCGGCGAGCAATCAGGCTCGTTTTTTTCGGAGTCGTGCCTCAGCTCCAGCAAGTGATCAATCTTTCTGTGATTGCATTAATATTTATAAACATTCCACATTAACGACGACGGGGATTGTGTGTCAGATTTGGCCTGCAGCCACCGAGCTCCGAGTTTCCAAATAAATACACCAAAGTCAATCAGAGGCGTAAAGCAAAAGCAGAATTAATGTCCCTGATTGAACGCACGAGGAAATCTACAAATAAGATAAGCCAGCCCGGGTTGGACTGTGTTTATGGGTTGAAGTAGTTCAACAGATTTGTTTAGATGACTGCAATGACTGATAGGAGAAGGTGCAAGTTTTGTGTGATGATTATTAGTTGCTGATTAATATGCGGGCCTTACTTACCCCTTGTCCAAGTGAAACTCTCTCCAAAGCCTGTTAGAGTAAAAAAAACAACACATAAGTTTTCCTGGAAATGAAACAACTTGTCTGAAAGTGTTCTTCTGTATCAGGCAGCAAGACATCACCAAAGTTCTGCATTTGTTCCGCTACATTTACCGTCCCTCTGCTGCCAGTTTACGTCGATTTATTTCATTGAAGTGCATTCAAAGATGATTGTTTTTTTTGTGCAGATGAAAGATATTCAAAGCAGAAAAACAAAGTGACACGAGGGCTTCGGGGTGAGTTAGTCTGAATTCGAACGTCGGATCAAACGGTTCACTGCACGGGTAATTCGTTTATTTAAAAAAAATACAGAAGCAGAAAATGTTTCTTTTTCAGCAGAAATACAACCAAACTGTAATTTTATCTTATCTAAACAACCGAGTGGGCGGGTCCTTGTCAATTTGGCTCCACCCACAATGCCACGCCTGCTTTGAGACTGAAGACTGTTCCGTCCTAAACAAGGTCTCTGTCCAAATTCAAGGGTTGCATCTTTCGAAGGCCGAATTTGTTGGCCAGTGCGTGAGAGCGACGCACCGAAGGCTGTCCAAACTGTGGCTCACAAATGCATCCTCCATTAATTTTGGTCTTCATTGCTTCTCTTTAGCGTCACCACAGTTTCAATGTGACAGGACATACATCAGGGTGAGGGCGGGAATAAAGCTGATGGCTAGACCGTCAAAATCCTCAGCCACTTTCTTCCTGCCTTTGCAGTCTACAAAACTGCTCCACGTAGACCGGGTTAGGCTGGGTCCTTCAAAAGACGCAGCCTCTGAATTTGGACACAGCCAGTAATAAATACACTGCAGACCTGGACTGGCATAACAAGATCATCTAAAGTCTTAGCTTCGACTTGAGGGTGATGAGCACTTCTTGGCGCGTCAGCCAGCAGTTTGAGGATTCACATTTTTCTCTCYGCGACTCACCAAACACGCTGACATCCTGGCATTTCTGCCACAGAACCAGGCCTGACGGCGGAGGTACCRGCTCAGGGGGAAACCGCACGCGGTCTGCGAAGGCTCTGCGAGGGGAGCAGACACAGATAAACCCTGAGTGTGCTGACTCCAACAGTTGGGCTCCCGCAAATTGTTTCCACCAGAGCAGATCCTGTTCAAAAGCAAGCCTGGTGTTTTTGTGTCGCCTGAAGGGATCCTGAGGAGCGTCGCTCGTATTCATACACATAATACTATTAATATAAAAAAGAAGAGAGCTAGAAGACAAAGAGGATTTTGTGAATATGTAGCACTTTTGAAGTAAAACTGGGGTTGGAGAGTGGAAAACTTGAATTCTTTTGAATGGATTTTATGCATAACAGCTGCACTGTTACCATCTTTAAAGAAAAAAAAAACAGTTTATATTATAAAATATCACAAGCTGATCCAATGAGAGTGTAAACATCTATTCATCATTCTGAATCAGAAATATCTGGTTATAGATCCTGACAATTATATGATAAACCAGCTTGCCGTAACAAAAATTACCAAAACAAACAAATTACTGCCTTCTGTCCTGAAGACTTTCAGCTATTTAATCCCTTCTTGGGGTGAGGCAGCAGGTCTTTGTGCACTTGGAAAAACAGTGTTGATGTGTGTGTTGGGGGGGTGGGGTTGTTTCTGGTGACATTTGGGGGCAATTTTAAGACAAAACGCCTACCTTTGGGGACAACTGGTGCATTTGCTAAGCTGAGTCCCAATTTGGTTAAAATACCATTGGTGGGTTGGGGGTTCGGTTTAGGACCAAGGTGTGAATTGAGTTTAGGTTAGTTTTAGGGTCAGGTAGGTAGGTACCTGTGAGGTTAGGCTTTAGGGTTTGTGGTCAGGGTTAGGCTGTASAAATGTAATGGAAGTCAACAGAATGTCCCCAAATGTATAGCTGGGCGAACCTGTGTGTGTGCGTGCGTGTGTATGTGCGGCCTTGTTCTTGCTACTTGGTGGAGACAATTTCYCAGGAAAATGCAGCCTTGTGGGGACCGGATGCTCCTTGTGAGGACCAAAGCCAGGTCCCTAGGACTTCGGAGCCTGATCTTGGGTTGGGGGTTCGGTTTAGGACCAAGGTGTTAATTGAGTTTAGGTTAGTTTTAGGGTCAGGTAGGTACCTGTGAGATTAGTTTTAGGATAAATTGTCAGGGTTAGGACATAAAATTTCCAAAAAAAAAAAAAATGAATGGAAATCAATGGAAAGTCCCCACAAGGACAGAGAGACATAGTAGTTGTGTATGTGTGTGTTCGGGTTTTTCCTATAATGTGGGGAAAATTTTCCTAAAAAAAAGGCAGACTCATGGGGACCGAAGTGCATCATGGGGACCAATGACCGGTCCCCACGGGTCCAAATGCAAATTACAGGTAGGGGGTTAGGTTTAGGACCAAGGTGTAGGTTAGTTTTAGGGTCAGGTAAGTTTCTGTGAGGTTTATTTTAGGGGAAATGGTCAGGGCTAGAATATAAAGTCTAAAAACAATTAATGAAAGTCAATGCATGGTCCCCACGGGGTAGAAGAACAAACGTGTGTGTGTGTGTGTGTGTGTGTGTGTGTGTGTGTGTGTGTTTATGAATCTGAAAAGGTAGGGTTAGAAAATTT